TCATCACCATCACCATCACCATCACCATCATCATCATTCTCATCCTCATCATCATCCTCGTCATCATCATCGTCATCATCATCACCACCATCATCATCAGCATCAGCATCAGCATGAGCATCCTCATCATCAAAATCATCATCATTATCATCCACATCATCATCACGATCATCATCATCAGCAGCATCATCATCATCGGCACCATCATCATCATCGTCAGCATCATCACCATCATCAGCATCATCATCACCACCACCACATCATCATACATCATCATCATTCTCATAACCACCACCACCACCACCATCATCATCATCATCATCATCATCATCAGCATCAGCATCAGCATCAGCATCAGCATCAGCATCAGCATCATCATCATCATCATCATCATCATCATCATCATCATTCTTCTCCTCATGCTCATCCTACACCTCATCCTCCTCCTCCTCCTCCTCCCACCCTCCTCCTCCTCCTCCTCCTCCTCCTTTTCCTCCTTCTCCTCCTCCTCTTTCTCCTCTCCCGGGCTCCGTGCCCACGCGCTGCAGCTCCACCTCTTTCATGTTCGACTGGCGGGCCCGATCAGCGATCGACTCCGCGAGGTTATGCATGTTCTGGTTGAAGATGTGCGCGAAGCCGTTGGTGTCCCGGCAGAACACCTTGGTGGCGCCCACGGTGGGGCCGCGCGAGGGGAGGGCAGCCTTCTGCGAAGGCGGAGGGGCTTCCTAGAAGGCAGGGGCCTTCTTAGAAGGCCCTGGAGGCCTCCGAGGAAGCGTCTTCAGACGCCGGGCGGGCCTCGAAATGGCCACCCCGCCTTCTCAGAAGCCCCGCCACCGTTTCAGAAGCCCACCCCCCTCGCGCCACGCCCTCGTGGGCGCCGCCAAAGCCTTGAGCGATCGGTGCAGCTGGCGGATGCGCCCGTCTGCGCCGTCGCCGTCGGGGCTCTCGTCGCCGATCCCGGTCAGGTTCCCATCGAGCTCGCCGAAAGTTGTCTGCAAGGACGCGTCGAAGGCTTCCAAGGCATCGTCGAGCCTGGCCACCGCGTACAAAGACGCGCCCCGAATTTGCTGTTTCTCTTTCTTTCTCTCTCTCTCTCTCTCTCTATATATATGAATACCTATCAATCAATATATCTATCAATACGTATGTCTGTCTCTCTCTGTCTCTCTCTCTCTCTCTCTCTCTCTATATATATATATCCACGCCTGTCACTGGCTATGATGATGCCGCTCTCGTTTGAGCCTCGGCTACATCCGTCTTTCACGAGCGCCACCTCCGGCGCAAGACAACTGACGACCGCAGCTGCCGTCCCTTCGTGCTGTGCGGGTGCCGAACCTGGCGTTCGGTTTGGACGGAACGCGTCGGGTCTGTTGCCAATCGGGGCTGCGCCAGGTTAGCCCCCCAACGTTAGGTTCGGAATGGGTCGTAGCAACACTGCGGCTACATCAATATGCGAACCGCAGAGTCAATAAAACATGCAGGTGCAAGGATCAATATTTGAAGGCGAAGCTCAGCGAGCCTTAAATCTTGTGTAGATGAGTTTCGATCTATACATATATATGTATGTATGAATACTTGCATAGATATCTAAATATATCTATGTTTATCGATCTGTCGATCGATCTCTGTGTGTACACACACATGTATACATACACCCGATAGCGAGTTTCCTTGTGCCTCCAGCGAGGGCAGCGATGTACAAAGCCGCTGGCGCTTGGCGGTGATTTGTGCACTGCCATCGCCCCCCAAGGCACAAGAAAACTCCACTGAAGGAGGGTTTGCATTGATACCCTGGCATCCGCCGAGGTGACTCTTCAATCAGCGGCCCCAGAAGTCACGACCCCTTCCGCAAGGATAGTCTTTTGTCCCGGACCCGGACCCGTTTTTGCGGCCCCAGGGCCCGCAAACCCCCCTCGAGGGCCGAAATCGAGGGACAACCGCAAGTTAAAAAAGCCAAATCGTCCGAGATCTGGGCATGAATGGCGGACCAGAGGTCGACGACGACGACGACGACGACGACGACGACGACGACGACGACGACGACGGCGCCGATGACGACGACGACGACAATGACGACGACGACGACGACGACGACGACGACGACGACGACAACAACGGCGACGACGACAACGGCGGCGGCGGCGGCGGCGGCTGCGATCCTGGCGCCCACGGTGGCCGCGACGTCGCGCTGCCCGAAGGTCTCCAGCTTGGACTCCATGCTCTGCACGGAGCCTCGGCATCCCCCCTCGCGCCCGGGGGGGGGAGCAGAGAGAATCGGCGGCCAACCCCGAGGGGGAAATCCGGTGGTTTCAGGCTCGGCGCTGGAGGTCTTCGGGCGTGCTGGTTTTCTTCCAGGCGGTTTGTCAGCTTCCGCCCACTCCCCGCTGGCAAGACCAAGCTTATTCGATGCTTGGTACGATTGGTACGCACTGTGGGTTATGCATTCTTGGCGTTCTTGGTCTGAGGGGTGGTGGTGGTGCACCATCCTTGAGCGGCACAGCTGGCTCACACGAGAAATATAGAGAAAACCAAAAATGCAGCGGCGCACCACCCCCGCAATACCAAGAATACAAACAATGCCGACCGAGAATAGCAATCCAAACGTTCAAACAATATGAGTTCATCTTCATGGTGTTGGTAAACAGTTTTCTCGAATCCGGACGCTCGATTCTTGATGTTGCATTCTTGGTATTCTTTGAATTATTGGTCGGGCCGCCGTCTTGCTACAGATCCACGCCCTTCAGGTCACAGCCTTCCCCTGCCCAGACAAGTCTAGTCTGTTTTTAGTTTTTCGCATGTCTTGCAAATGCGGCAGCCGCGGACCGCGGAGGTCAGGTCATTGGCCTGGGTCGTAAAGAACGTAACGCGGCAACGGTCGCGAAGAACATAACGCCACCTCCGGAAAGGCTTGTAACCCGAGAGAGGCGGGGTGAGTGTTAAAATCGATGACTTCATCCCACTGTCACAGTCTCGCCTGTTTGCTCCGTGCTGCCCTCGGCCGCCCTCAGCTGTGGAGGGCTCCGGAAGCCCTGCACCCAAAAAGCCTCGGCCATCTCTTGGCAAGCCGCGTCTCACTTCCTTTTTTAAAACCACTGCGCCCAGGAGCCTTCAGGAAAGGACGCTTCGTGAGGGGCCTAGATGAAAAACTACCGATATCGGCGCATTCGAGATCCTATATCACGAACGATGGGCCCACGACGGGTGCGCGCGCAACACGAGCGGATGGGTCTCCGCCCCACTCCCACGCGCCCCCGCCTCTGCGGAGGCGGCACTGTGAGAGCGGCACCCGAGCCCCCTCTGGGGTCGGGGGGCCGCTCCCCATCAAAACTCGCAAACTCAGGAGCACTCAAGATACTGAACCGAGAAAGAGGGAGGCAGGCGCACGGGGCCTAAAGGACGAGCAACTTCCCAGGCACGAACACGCTCCACCCTTGGAACCTGTTGCACAGCATGTTGGTCATCCCACACCCCGCGCTGATCGACTGCGACCAGTCGTCTGAGAAGGCAAAGAGGCCGACGAGCATGGGATACGATAAAGATTAGATAGTCCCATCATCACTGAACTAAGCTGCTGAGTCTCTGGCGTTTGAACAAGTCTGGAAGAGTTCTACTCTTAGAACTGGCCGAGGGAGTGTCTACTTCTTCTTGGGCTTTTTGGCGCCCTTCGACTTCAGCATGTCGTTTTTTCGGAAGGCGAGCTCCTCTATCTGCTTTGCAACCTTGGACCTCTGACCGTAGTCGTGGCCTAGGAGGATTCCTGCCGCCATGGGCCCGCCGTTGTCCCTGAGGGTGGACAGCGCGAGCTTGAGCTCGGGATGGTAATTGACGGCCCAGATCCAGCGCACCTGCTCCACGTCGCCCTCGGCCAGCTTCACCTTGAAGCACCGCGTCGCGCGCACCATGATCTCCGTGTCCTTGGCGATCGAACCCCAGCGCTGGAGCACCTCCAGCGCGCCGAGGGCCTTCTCGGGGTTGGTCCCATTCTTCACGGCTTCCTGCACGGGCTGGGAGCTGTTCTCGTAGGCTTCGGCCATGCGGAAGATCACCGACCTCAAGAGTGCGTCTGGCTTTTTTCCGAGCGGGTGGCCCTTGAAGTTGTCGCCCTCGCGGGCGGATTTGCCAGTCGCTATGTAGTTCTGCAGGCCGTTTTCCAGTGCCATCTCGATCTTGGTGCCGACTTTGAGGGTGAGTGTGAAGTTGTCGTCCCTCGCGTCGGCCTGGTGGGCTGCTTCGTGTTGGAGGAGGAGGCGGCACATCAGGTTCGTGAGCTTGCCGTTCGGCGTCGACTCGCTGGACGCTGTGGTGCTGTCCTGAGCCTCGGGCTCCTGCCTCTTGACGCCTCCCTGGACCTCCGCGATCGGCACGAACATCGTCGGGTGGTGTAGGCTCGGGAGGTCCAGGGGCGGGTGGCTCAGGTGCCCGACTCGCAGAGGCTTGGGCCAACAGCGACGGGGTAGCTCGGCACCGTCCCATACGAATGTGGCGAACGAGGGTGTCCTTTCTGCTGAACTTAGTGGCGCACCGAGGGCACTTCAGGGACCTGAGCTGGTCATCTGTTAAGTCCGTGGGGTTGGCGTACTTCTTGTGGACCGAAAACATGTGGTTGTCGAGGCCCTTGGGGCCCTGGCACATCCTGGAACATATCGGGCAAGGTAGCGGGGCATCAGGTGGAGGGGCGATTCCCGCGGCTATCTTCTCTTCGTCATCAGTAGTTGTGCTTCGCACTCCTTTGAGTCGGGCCCTGGGGGCGCAACACAACCAGCGAAGCCACGGGCGAGACGGGTTCGGGAGCTCCTCATTCAGGCCGTGGGTGTCCCTGGCTTGCTGCTGGGCCTCGGGGGTGAAGGTCCTCCAGAGGTGTCTGAGGTCGTCCTGAAGAAATCCCAAGAGCGAATTAATCTCCTTATGCTTGGGGCCCTCGAAGTTGAATCGACCAAAAACCACCGCACGGACTAACTTCGTGGGGTCATACTTCGGGTCATCGGGGGCCTCGTCTGGGTTCTCCTGGGCCAAGAGCTCCTCGGGGGCCTCGTCTGGGTTCTCCTGGGCGCCGTTCTCCTGGGGGTCCTGCTGTTTCTGCACGAGGTCGGGGAAGGCGGGGCGGAGAACTCCTTGCCACCACGCAAGCCGTCTCTCCAGCAGTGTAGAGGCCACTGTGTACACCCTGGTGCGCTGACGGATCTCAGAATTGCTCACATGATGTACGTTTGCAGGAGAGCGAGCAAGGAACCTCAACTTCCGTGTTTGCCAATTTTCTAGCCGAGTGAGGTCACGCTTGGTAAGGACTGCGACTTCGAGGCCGTGCAGAGCAGACGAGCGTACCAGAGAGTACCACAACCGAACTCTAAGTCGGACACTGAATTGGCACTTGAAAGCACGACGAGCTAGGCGAGCGTGGGCAGCATTTCCTCCCTGGATCCTGTGCGTAATTTCCTCAACCATCGAACTATCATCACGTTGCTTAGCTCCTAGGTACTTCACGCTCGGGGTGGCGTTGATCAAAGTCCCATCCATGGTCACGTTGGTTTGTTTAGTTCGAATCGTGGTTTTCCGAGCCTTACTTCGTCTTCCCGTGGTGACAATGAGCATTTCTGTTTTCGAGTCGTTAACTTTCATCTTCCCCTTCGTGATTTCATTCTTCAGAAATGACAGGAACCTCGAGATCGTTTCGAAATCCTCGACAATGGTGAACGCGATCAAGTCATCAACGAACTTTATGGGCGATACTGGTAAGCATTCTTCCCCATCATTTCCTGGGAGGAGGTGGAGGTGACGAGTTTTTTCCAACGTCGGGTCGAACACTACAGAGACCACGGTGAATTCTGACATGGCGTGGCTCTGCTCTAAGTTGGCGGCGAGCAGGTCGTAGGCGGCGATGAACAATAGGGGTCCCTCCACGCTCCCCTGGCGGACGCCACGGGAGATGAGCAGCTTCTTGATGGGGCGGTTGGTCCGAATATCTCTGGCGATGTAGCATGTGCCTTCATGGAGCTCCTCGACCGTCAATCTCACGTTGCGCCTGAGGGAGAGGCGCTCTAGGGCATTCCAGATCTCATCGCGGTCGACCAGGTCAAACGCCTTCTCGAGGTCAATGAGCACCGCGAGGAGCATGCCTGGGATCGCTGTCTTGCCGAGGCGGGAGGTGCGGCCATGAAGTCTGCATCGTCGGACCACTTCGGCTACGACCGCCAGGGCATCACGAGTAGAGCGGCCTGCCAGGGCACCGAACTGCGAGCTGGAGAATCTTGAGGCCAAACCGCACAGTGACGGCATGACTGTGACGTTCATGAACACCTTCCCGATGTGGTTGATCAAATTGATGGTGCGGTAATGGTCTTTCGCGTTCTTGCCATCTCCCTTGGGTTTCCGTAGTGAAACCGTTTCTCCGTCTTTAAAGCGCTGGGCAGAGTGTCCAAGGGCCTGGCATGCGTTGAAAACTCCATGGAGCGCCGGCGTGGCTTCGGTCGCCAGCAGCTTCCAAAGTTCGATGATGGACCCGTCATGCGTGTCCTGGTCGGGGAGGTCGGTCTCCGTGTCTATCAGCTTGAGGACAGGCGCACTCTTGAAGTTGGGCATCTTGAGGATGGCCTTCCTGACATCATCTGGTGTGTATGAGCCGATTCTGGTATCGTCACGTGGAAGAAGTCCAGGGGGGCCGCCAGGTGTGGCCATGTCTATCATCGAGCCCTCGAAGATGCTGCACAGGGCCCGTACTCGAACGTCGGCTTCTTCAGCGTCGTCCATGCAGAGGCCTCCAGACTCGGGGTTGTTGACCGTGACCGTGGGTGCGGCAGGCTTCGGGGCGAGGCGGCGGATGACGCTGTGGAGCTTCCGCAGGTTCTGGTTCGCGTCGGCCGTCTCCGCTTCCGTGGCTGTGTCGGCCAGTCGTTGGCGGCGTTCGGCTCGAACTGCTCTGGCGGCTTCACGATATGCTGTGTCGAACTCGGCCTGCATGGCAGCGTAGCTGTCGGACTCCTGATTGGTCATGCTGGCCATTCTGCGCTGGATGCGATGCTTGCGGTCGATCAAGGCCAGGGTGGAGTCCTTCAGCTTGGGGCGGGTCAACTTCTGGGGCTGTAGAATGTAGTATGGGGCCGCTACCTCGATCAACGTGTGCTCCAGGGCGTTGAAGTAGTCTGACGGGGTGGCGTATCTGCGTTCGTCTCCGCATTCATCAGGCCACTGTCCAGACAGCAGCCGTTGGTCAAGGAGTGTCACAAATTTCGATCGCA